ATCAAATATATTGTTTTCTTTGTGTCATATTTTTGAGAATTCAAGTATTTATATGAGGGTGTTATCCAGTCGATTGTAGTTCAGGGGCGGTCGGGTGGCCTAGTGGTTAAAGCGTTGGTTCGTCACGCCGAATACCCGGGTTCGATTCCCCACATGGGCACAAGGTGTGAAACCCATTTCTGGTGTCCCCCGCCGTGATATTGCTGGAATATTGCTAAAAGCGGCGTAAAACTAAACTCAGTCAGTCAGTCAGTCAGTGATTGTAGTTCACAACTGCTTCATGCTACAGATGTCCTCCACAAAGCCACACAGGCATCATGTGAAGCAATAAGACCGATAATAGTGCATGAACATACACCACGAAACCCGATCACGTTTCCCTGGTAATATGTAAAGGAAATCTCATCCAGAACCCAGAATACAATTGCAGAATCACGCTGCGTTACAGATAAAGAAAGTTAAGCATTAGCAATGGTAAATTATCGGCGCTGATTTGATGATGGAGGCAATATTGTCTGCCTGCTGTATCTTATTCAGTTAATCCTGAACATGTACAGGCACTGCAGGTTGTCTTGAAGAAAAGAAAGAAATCCAGACCTGAGGTACATGTTTTCTACGTGCTACTTTACACATCGATCAAACGTTTTTGTTTTAAATTATATGTCTGCAGGCACAAAGGGAACATGTAGTAAATGTGTCTCAACACGCCTCCTGTTTTAAAGGTCACATGCAACCAAAAGATCAAACATCATTAAAACACAATTATCACTTATTCATGACATATAATATACATTGCTGATTATGAAAAAACATATAAACAAAATTATAAGCGTACAATCGCAAATCAAAAGTGCAATATTTTGTACTTAGGTTTACTTTCCTCGAAACGAAGCAGCTGGGATACCGAACCCAGTCAGAGCGGGTGGGTGTGCACTCAAGTGTAACGGCTGGTTCATTTGCAGATGCCCTCACGGCTCATTGTGTGTGTGTATATAGAGATGTTGGGTTTTGTAAATACATGCTCATATTTTTGTGTATAACATTTTGCAATCAACAGACATCATAACATGTCATGTGTACAAGTATCACACCTGCCTGTCTGTGTAATTACATAATGTGACAGAGACCGAACTCGGGCCATAAATCAATGCGTTTTGTTTATGGTGTATAGCCTGATAGGTGCCTGCATGTGGTCAGTGATCGAAGTTCTGTATTGAATATTGTCATTAGCAGACAGGCAGGCAGACACATAGGTGTCAATAAAACAGACATTGAGTTTGGTCTGTGACAACGACATATCTATATCACAATTAGAAATTCTGTCAACGCTAAATAATGACATTGCTTTTAAGTATCGAACTGAGAAAGTGACTCGGTAAGAAGAACGTGTGGTGAAATAGACAATGAAATTATAAAAACAGTTAAATCGGTAATCTACTGTCATAACATATAAAAAGCTCGCGCCTGTGAAATATCAACAAAACATTAGAAAAATAGCTCACACAAAAGCCTTCACCGAGTACTCACCGGACAACCCGCTTACAAGCTGCGCGAACTTATTTCACTGCGCATGTGCTATGAGCGCAGCCCAGCTGTTGAAATCAATTTTCCCCCAAGCGCGTTATTGTTCAACTTTATAATTTGAATTTGCATTTTTGATGATTTGTTTTGGTAAGTCAATACCGAAAGGTATCAGAATCTGCAAAGTTGTGTTTTACGTTGCATGTGACCTTTAAGAAGTCCTTTCTGTTGAGTGTGTAACCATACATTGTATACTGCATGTAAATCATCATTGTCACCACAATTACAAACTTAGATTAGTTATACAGTTTTACTGACGTTGTCACCACAATTACAAACTTTCGAGATTAGTTATACAGCCATTTTGGGATTTGACCTCGGGATTCGTTCTCGAAACGTTCAAATGTAGACCTAAAGAATTGTGTTGTCTTAACTTACCGAGAACTTAAATATCATTTCTGAATAAACAAAGATCGCCTCATTCCTATTCCTACGCAGTTATTAACGTTACTCAGGTGGATGAAATTATGGCTTAAGCTCCCATTACTTTAAAATGACGTTACACGATAATTAAACAAATCACGTCTATTTTGCATACTCGATGTATATCTGTTTCTAAATGTTAAAAGATCCAAATGTGAAGAAAAATGCTTAACTATATAAGTATTTTGTTATATATGGGTTTTTATATATATGTTGAAGTCGTTACATTTCAGTATGACACAAGGAATATGTATATTTTCAGATCATCCGTAGTCATTTTTCTAATTCAGACATACGAGGATGTATAAGCAAATTAGAATTATATGTACTAATCGTACGTCCCCACATAAAAACATCTTAGTTTGAGACGTAGCACTCATATTCTTCGTAGGACGATAAAATGGGAAAACGATTTAGAAATGTCAGACAGCAATTACAACATAACTACAGCTGTAATGAGAGGAACATGGGCTGATTCTTAAATAATTTCAATACTTTCATTATGTCAAAATTTGCAATGTTTTGGTGGTGACATTAGAAGGTATGTTGAATCAAATGCTACATTGTGAACATTAAGTTCAAACACCTTATACACAGCAAACATCAAAAGGTTTAATGCGCCTAGTGTTAGCATATATCCCTGGTGTACTCCAGTGTGCAATCCTTAAGTACATCAGAGACGTGACAGCGGCCTGAATTAATACCAACTCGAAATATCAGTCAGGTAATATTAAGAACGGTATTTCAGCAGTAAAATGAGAAAGGGCGTTTATGTAGGCATTGGTAACAGGAGATGTCTCTTACACAAGACGTCTCTTTCTGGACAGGGGATACAGCTGGTCCTGGTCTTTCGTCACTTAGGCATACCGGGAAAATATCATCGTGGGCTGGAATCCCAGATTCTTTCTGAAAATGGTACCATGTGTATCACTATTACAAGTTTTAAGTTCCAAAGAGAAGATACATATATTTCGGCTTCTTTTTAAATTAAGCATCAATCCCAACTACCGCCTTTCATCTAATAAGTGCGAGGGCGCTTATTAATTGAGCAAACTCACAGACCCGGCGCTTAATAGGGATCGGCGCTTATTGGAGACCCGGCGCTTATAGTTGCCTGGATATGTGCTCTTTATAAATATCCTATAATAATAATAATAATAAATAAAATAATAATAAATAGATTCTCCATTGGTATTTTATTTGAAAACTACATTGTAAACATGTGGCACACCCGGACTTATTAGAGACACGGCGCTTATTGCAGGAAATACGGTAACTGGCAACGTAACCTCAGTTTGTACTTTTGAAATACAGTTTTATCTACCCCAATGTATAGTGTAATAAAGTAATGTTCTGATCTTAACTATTATAATCAAAGCAAGAGAACGCTGTAGGAGACAGTACCAGGCAATGCCAACTGACATGCATTGCGACGTCGGTTACCAAGTGTACATTTGATTACGAGGGGGCAGACTAGAATGGCGTAGTGACGTCATTACAGTGTGACGTAATGCAAAAAGTGTACTTTATCGCCTGATCAAGTTCTGTCGCCGCCTTTGATCTTTTTGCGAACATCTTTGAATTTATAATAGTTCTGATTTCCAATGACATAGAAATGCAGTAGGGTAAAGGACATGGAACCTCTATTCAACGTCAGTGATGAATATCACCAATAACATAAGTAACACGCTGAGGCCAATCTACCTAATTGACAATCTTCATTAGAAGACTAGTCTTAAGAGACAAGACAGATTGTAGATGATTATCCCCTGAAGAATGGGCTGTCGGTTGGCATGCGACTGAGGGTTCAGACACCATCGGTCACCCCCAGATTTCATTATGGGTGCTGATCAATCACACAGCATTGCACTTCATTGTCAATAAGGAATACAAATGATTCCAAAGGATATCTGAAGCCAGAATCACGACAGTCAGTTCTGTTCAAAAGCTCACTTCTATGTACTTTTTAATAAGCGATTTATATGTCCATCTTCACTTTTCCTTTTTGTGATGAAGGTAACAGCTTGTTGATATTTTAGAATGCAAGATTTATGGATGTCAACGTCTTATTGTGAATAACACGACGTTTCGGAGTGTACGCTTGCTCCTTCGTCACCTGGTGCACCTTATTCAATAAAGAAGTTGACATCCATAAACCTTGCTTTCCTCATGACTTCCACTTCTAAATGCCTTTCAAAGATTATGTGAGATTTATCTGCTTTATCTATTGTATTGCTTTAAATGAACTGTTGACTTGTGATGATTGCTGTACTTCACGTCTCACGTTACATGTATGTGGATTTACTCAAACATTATTCATCCAACGCGTGTCCTTTGTTGTTAAATGACCAACATTATTTTTAAAAAACAATCAAAAGAAAAGAAAAAAAGGAATATTCAGTTGAGTTAGCTAAAGATATGACTGCACAAGTACCTCACGATTCTACCAACTTTACCAAGGATAAGGATGTTGGCTTTTTGACATCTGCTACTCACAAACCAAAGTGAGAGGGTCATGTTTTTAGCTTTTTCGCCAAAATTATTACTTTCTCACTAAGAGAAGAAAAGAAAAGTAAAGAAACGAAAAGAAAACGGAAAGAATATTCAGTTGAGTTAGCTTAATACCTCACGATTCTACCAACTTTACCATGGATAAGGATGTTGGCTTTTTGACATCTGCTACTCACAAACCAAAGTGAGAGGGTCATGTTTTTAGCTTTTTCGCCAAAATTATTACTTTCTCACTAAGAGAAGAAAAAAAGAAAAGAAAAGAAAAGAAAACGGAAAGAATATTCAGTTGAGTTAGCTTAATACCGCACGATTCCACCAACTTTACCAAGGATAAGGATGTTGGTTTTTGACATCTGCTTCTCACAAACCAAAGTGGGAGGGTCATGTTCAACTTTTTGCGAAAACTCTTACTTTCTCACTTTGTCTCATGCAGGTTGCCAATCGAGAGGAACAGCAGCTGAGTGAACACTGTTGTATGATTTCAGGTCCATCGCCTGCCATAAGCATTGGCCTCCACATCATAATGAAACCCTACTATGCCTTAGCCGTATGTGCAATCTTCGCAATGGTGCTTGTCATCGCCGGTGCTCAAGGTAAGAGGGAATTGTTTTCAAGATGCCCATAATGACTTCAGGTATTTATAAGCTGATGCCATGGATGGGTGTTTAGCTCACCTGACGGTGATGCTTGCATTGTAAATATATTGTTCTTAGAAACTACTGAACTAATGACGTTGAAACGTCGCCATCCTGTCTAACGTGACAGCTTGGCGATACACCCCATCATTCAAATGAGCAATATTCAAATGAAAACACTCAGAACAATGAGCTATTACTGAGCCCTTATGTTTACAAAATATGTAATTCTATATCTTACAATGTACATTTGGCTTTCTGAACACAAAATCCTCAGAAACGACCAGGTCAATGCAGGTGAAACTTCGCTTCCTTGTTTCAATAATAATGACGACCAAACATTGATAAAGCCACTGCAACCATATTGAAATTCAACCCATGGCCATTATTCGGTCGTCTTTTAAAAATCAAAGTTGTTTTTTTATGTGACTAAACACATTTGCTTTGCTGTATTTCAATATTTTGTGTCTAGACCTTTACGTTTAATTATGTGCATGTATGTGTTTTGTTTATTTGTTGCGTAACGCCGCACTCAGCAATATTCCCGATATATTTACACTTGCTCTTTCACAAAAACAATTCCAAAAGTTGATAATTACTTAAGGATATTGAAAGACATATTTACTACTGAATCATTCATCTCCAGAAGAAATAATAATGTTGAAAGCTTTTTAGCCAAATGATTTCCTCTCATCTCTGAATTTAACCATGAATGACAAAAAACATATCACTGATATTGATATTCAATGTACTTAGTGTACTATATCGCCTTTGAGCCCACTAGCTTGTATGTGCACATATTCCTCTATATGCTTGTACTCATCATGTTTTTGTACTCATCACATTGGGAACAATAAGAAAAAAATAAAATGTTCCAGCTATACGGCGGTATGTATGAGTGGATAACGTCAGGAAACATAACAGCCCTGGCTTTGAGGCTAAATGTTTCTTTTTCTTGGTGTGCGCGCGTATACAAAAACAATGCACACACACAAACACAAACAAGATAAACAAACAAAAACAAAGCAAGCACAAACACAAACACTATTTCCTGGCACTATGACAGCATGCCTATAGGAGGAATTCATATTTCACTGTTGATCAGCATTTCAAAATGGTACACGACGTTTACAGCCTTTAGTCCATTAGTGAAGTACAGGTGGGTTACCCATCATGGTAGGATGCATTTGCTTAAGGGCAAGTCCAAATAAAGCTCACAAATCACAAACTGTCTTACATTTCTGTATCGATTCCCACAAATTTTAGCTCTGTACTGAATCTGAAAACCTATATACATTGCACTTTTGCAGTTTGGACATCCAAAGATTGATGCTTGAATTCTTCCTCTCATATTTCATGCATGACTCTATATTCAATAGGACTGACCAATATGTTAATGATATTTAAACACGACGGATGAAAGGAAAATAGCCTGTTTTCGAACCCAAACGTAATTGTTGCTTTGATTGGTCTGGAATGTATTTCTGATAAAAGTCATTGCGTGTTATTTAACGGGAAATGTTTATCGGGAAGTTTTTTCAAAGATATTATTCTAATATTGTAATAAGAGATGTAATGGCAAACACTTTAAACACAGAGATAAGGAGAATTTATATTCTTTTCTCGACTCCTCCTCATGTGAAGTTTTTCAAACACGATGTTCAGAAGGTCGAAATGGAAATTAAATCGTATAACGTTAAAATATACAACGCCATGCAGGATGTGATGATTTAAACCCTGTTATATGACCAAATAAGCATATCCAGTAAATAAATAACAGCATTTGATTAGTTCAACTTCCCCTTCAGATACATTCCAAAAGAAACAGTTGCATCTACATTTCAAAATCTTGGAGTTACAATAAAGCAAGTACTGTCAACCAAGATTTTAAAGAACGTCATGCTACTCTGCTAAGGTTATAGCCGGAATGATGCAATAGACAATGCTTTCATGGTTATGGAAATGTTTTTTATGGCATATATTTCTAAAACTGAGCCATATCACACTTCGTAGAAGTTTGCCTCTTCGGAGTAACATTCATGTGTGTTGTTTATTGCAGATTATACATGCAGTCAATAGGATCTATTACATAATTCCCATGGGTATGTGTTGAATAATACTTCTTTTTTTTGTTAACAGATTTGAATTTGTTTGGTCGTGAAGAAACAACAGAGGACAAGCAAAGTGCACAGAATATCGAGAAAAAGTGAGGAGTAATTCTCTGTTTGTTTGTTGCTTAACAATGCAGTCGTTACTATTCTTGCTATAGGACAGTGTTATGTAAATAATCGAATGTGGACCAGAAAATCTTGTTGCTGACATAATAAACATCAGTCTACAATTTCGGATGTGATGACGCACTGTCTTGCTTGACACAATTATTGTTCCCACTTGCGTTGGTTGCGTGAGTCCAATTCGAACCCGCATCTTAACTGGGTATATGAAGAATGAATGTCTACAGAGGAACGTACATAGCTACAATACACATGTTTAAGGCTCTCTCTCTCTCGGAAAAAGATACAACTCTTGACATCAAGGTAACCTTGGAAAAGTATACTTTCTAAGAAAGAATATGTCAGACCTGTCATAGAACGATCGTTGGGTTCTTGGGTACTGGGATGTGTGGGCCTGGACCTTTTCTGGAAAATGAAATTGTTAAAAAAATGTCAAACCAAACATGAAATTTGTCCTAGGCCACACACACTCCTTTGCTCCACTTCAAAATATTCTGTCATTTTGGATGAGTCCATTTGGGCCATCCTCTGTACATCCTAAATCTTTGGATATTAGTTAAAGCTTATTATTGCCTTCTCTTTCAGATAATTAATTCTGAACTTTCTTCCACTAGGTACGCACGTCTGTCCTACTTCCGGTCACCTTCACGCCCACGTTATGGATGGAACAATAGAGGAAGAGGACGCTACTCTAGGTGAGGATTAAAGGGTTGTTGGTAGTTACCTCCCTTATCACGGCAGGAAAACATCGTTCCAAATTTCTGTACACGCAATGTCGTCTTGCTTCTTGAAAACGATCCTGGTGCTATATGCTAACCTCATGTCCAGTCTGCAATGATAAATTAAGAGTTTGCGTAGACGGAAACACGGAATGATGCCAATGCCAGTTTTCATACCGATGCTGTAATATTGTAGAGCAGTTTGGTGTGTCACCTGCTTGTAGTATACACATCACAACGGGGTGCATAACGTGCTGCACATCATCAATGAGCATTTATTGTTATCACAGCTTACTGACGTGTTACACTCCTTCATTTCAATCAGTTTCGTATCAATAAGTTAGAAAACAACCGTTACTTCGTGCGTGCACTTGGTTTTAGACACATATTACTTATGATTTTGGCTTAAATATCAGTTGTTAAAATATCCATCAGCGAGTAACGAGGTGTCTTAACGGTTGTAATGAAGGATGCTGTGTCTGTTCCGGGAGTTATATACATGAGTATAGATATTCATGTATACATTCCTTCGTTGATATCATCATACATTTTCAAGAAATATAATCATTACAGATTGATCGTGTTAGTTGAACGTGATGTGCACTGTTTGTTTCTGAAATGTGACAGATGACACAAGGAAAGACAAAGCCTTTGATGTTTTTAAAACTATGCTGACTTCGTGTTTCTTTCGTAACTTGAAGCGTCTGTCCTGTCTAAAAATAAACCCAGCTGCCTCGTCTGTCAACAAAGAAATATTTCTTAAGTGCTTAAATTGACAACTGTTGATGTTTAAAGAATATCTGTTGAATCTGACTTGTCTGAAAATACAGGTAAAGTTGTCACCATTCAAACACTGAGGCATATCAAAATTCAGCAACAGTCATTTTGATTGTGAGATAAGATGGAATTCCTTGCATTAGGAGCATAAACGTGTATACATAAATCGTTGTTTCGAGATGAGTTTCTCTTGTGTGCATGGTTATCATTTGAAAATTGTTGCAACTAACATACCTCCCAGTTATTAGTTAGTTTCTATGTTAGAGTGTTATCACCGACCCTCTAGTATTCCCTTTGTTTCCTCTCTGTAAATGTTCTTTCAACTCGGTTAACAGATCACTGACATTAACTTGACTATACCTGTATATTGTGGACCATACTTGAAATAATGTATTCGCATCAAGAAACATTGATCTTTCATTAAAGATATAATTTTTCGTCCATTACCCGCAATCAACAGGTCTAGTTTGAATATTTAGAACTTAATAACCAACCTAAAATGATTTAACACAGAGCACTAGTACAATTGTATCACTTCCCTCTCTGACCAGAATCCCCTAACGTACCCTTCTTACTAACGTCCCTCGAAGTTGACCTTGTGTATGCTCCAGAGTGCATGGTGAATTTAAGTTAATTTGTGCACAGAATTGTTGTCGTTTTTGTAGCATTGTATCCACTTTGAACATAAATGTCCGTATTTCAGACCTGTACAGAGATCACCTATGTATGGATGGAGGCATCGTTCAAGGTATTTGTTGGGGCCACTAAACACAATAAGTGGCAACAATTCTTCATACTCTTATCTTTCTTTGCATTTCAGAACCTGCAATCGAGTTTAAGATATAGTAAAACGTAGTCATATATATATATATATATTTAGATGGGATATAGAATTGGAAATGGTCTGTTTTGTTGTCTTTTTGTTTAGTTAATGATCACGTGATCACCATCATTTGTTGTTTTGTAAGGTATATGTAACATATATTTAATCGTACTCCCCTGCATTTTTGTATACACGTTTAGTAAATAGTTCGATTGCAGATTCAATGTTCATGATTCACCTGACTACTCTTTGCAATGTGAAAATACTTTTTCAATATTTTTAAGTTTAACTATGCAGTTCTTATTCATGTAAAAATCGTTTTGATATTAGTTTGGGCAAAAGTATTTCCTAACGCAGCTGTGTGTATCGTGGTGTTGACGGTGGGTTAGTGTTCCATCGACTTGCTTTAGGGTTGACAAACAAGTCTTCGCCTTTCCGAATCGTTCAAACATCATTGTTGATAGGTAGTTTTCCTTTGTCTTAAGGTATTTTGTTGTCAAAAGTTGAAACTCCTGTCAACCTTCCAGTTGGCTCCACAATACAAGGGAAAATGTGTTTCTCCAAATGATATGAATAGGTATTCCATAAGTTCATGTGAATAAGTATGCATATGTCTTTACCAGCCGTCCCAAGATGCCGTGGGAGTACCTTCCAGACACCTACTGCTTCCGGAACCGATGCCGATCCAACTTTGACTGCTGCAAAAAATACAACTTGTGCAACCCAGCTGCCAAACTGTGCTATGACTGCTGGTATGGGCATCCATGCAGGCGTAATGAAGACTGCTGTGTAAAATACCCCACATGTAACAGACACAGGAGCATGTGTGTGGATTAAAGTAACTTGGACTTGATCCACGGTTCCAAGAAAGTGACATGAGATGGCTTTGCTTTAAGTAAGGTATTGCAATTAATTCTGACACTCATTTTATGCTTGGTGATACACCGGAACAAAGCATCCTTAAATGAAACCAGCTCAGTTTGTTATGACATATACTATACTGTTTTGTAAAATATGCATTTAAATGACCATGGTCAAAACAATTCAATAGCGCCAGAGCAAAAGCCATTAAACAGTTCTCTGCAACGCCTATCTTAAAAGTGAAGCTGTCGCCATGATGTCCAGCATTCCAAAGAGTGTACGGCTAGGAATTATTCCAGGATAATTTCATAATTATGGAGAAACTCGCTTCAATGAACATGTTTTTTGTCTTTATTTGTTGGTTTATGCTTCATTGTTTAGCCTTATCGTAACGGCAGAGAATAATTATTTTCATATGCATCTGGTGTCCTCCCTCTTTGCCAGTTTCATTGTCAAGCAATTAATGAAATTTAACGGTGCAACAAAGGGGATTAGTAGGGGCTTAAAACTCACGTCAGTTCAACACTTTACCAATTTATTTCATTTTACAAAAATATATATGATTCGTGTTATAAATAAAGTTACAGATATAAAAAATAAACAAATTATACATGTTTAACTTATAGTCACGTAATGTTTCTTTAACAGTTTTATCAATTTAAGCAGATGATTAGTGTTACAGATAAATAAATGATACATATATAACTTATAATAATGTGATGTCATTTTAATCAGATACAAACTCAATGCAAATATTTACAATCCCACTAAGTGGGCGACAGCATAAGAAATTGATAATTGAAGCTACAAATTGTGAACACTTATTGACTAAAATTGTTTTGCATGTGGTGAACACTGTTCATGGCTCACCACGCTCAGAAACTGGCAATAACCAGCCAGACATGACCTTGCTAATTAGGGTGTTAATTATAATCCGGTATGCGTTAACCGTGGTCGGATTAACTACTGGCAAAGTGGGAGTAAATCATGCATCTACATACAGTGAGGATGTGTATTGCTACTAAGTCGCTGTCATACATTCAGATCAATGTATAGCAAAAACCAAACGTTTAGACATTGCTTTTTCAAAGGAACCTGAAACGGGTCAACCAACTTCACCAAGTGATTCAGACAAAGCATATGCACATGTATACCAACGCATTGAAACTCTAGCAAAAGTAAACTGTAATTAGGATATTCATATACTTATTACTGTATATTTTATAATTCTATTTTATGTATATGTATATCGTTTTGAAAATTATATACTGCCAAACTTTTCAGGTCAAGAGGTTGTGTTCATGATTATCGCCACAGTAATCATGTCAGGTCATTCTTCATGTCCGAGAGTGTTTTGTATAAGGACACATTATTTAGATTGTCGTTAGTTACTTCATATACACATTCTTCAAACGAGGATATTTCCTATATTAGGGCCTTGTATTTGATTTCTAACCTGGATAGTCTTTCTTATGTTATTCTATTGTATATTATTTCGATATTAATTATAAGAGTGAATTTAATTAACTTTAATAGGTATCAGTGGTTCAATTCGTTTCAAGGCCAGTCAAAAGTCAGATACATGAATCTCATTTCATCAATATTTTAAGAAACAGAAAAAACTCATATCATCATTTCGCTCACAGTCGTGCTATGTAAATCAGATTATCAGCTTTTCAAAACATCATGAATAAACTATAATTTGAGTTCTATTGTGTCTTGTTTAACAGGTTTTCGAACCAGAAAGTTTAGCTGGTGCTGTTCGTTAAATACTTGGATCGTAATTCCAGGGAGACCATTTAATCAAATGGGTTTTGGAGCAGTTGTTTTCTCATGTTGTGTTTGAGAATGTCCGACATTACCAATTCCATACAGTCTGTAAGCTGTGTCTGACATATGTGTTTAACGTCAGCGAGTGAGTGAGTGAATTTGGTTTTTCGCCGTACTCAGCAATATTACAGCTATATGACGGCGGTCTGTAAATAATCGACTCTGGACCAGACAATCCAGTGATCAACAGGATGAGCATCGATCTACGCAATTGGAAACCGATGCCATGTGTCAACCAAGTCAGTGAGCCTGGCCAACCGATTCCGTTAGTCGCCTCTTACGACAAGCATGGGTTACTGAAGATCAATTCTAACCCGGATCTTCACAGGTCTAATGTCAATTACGAAAACTCACGCAGCAATCCCAAATGTATTATGGAAACATGCCGCAACTGAAAGGTTTCGATGCATTTTTATGTCGTAATTTGAAGCCCGTATACAGTACCACCCCTCCATTCACAGCTACGTTCATGGTAACACAATGAAGCTTTCGAACCGAACAATAATTATTTAATCACTGATCTCAAAGTCACTCATCTCTAAATATTTTCATCCGAGGTGATATTGAGGGTTAGTACTGACTGTATACATCACCCGATAAACCTTGGCTTGTGGGGTAGATAAACCTTGGCTTGTAGGGTAGATAAACCTTGGCTTGTGGGGTAGATTAACCTTGGCTTGTGGGGTAGATAAACCTTGGCCTGTGGGGTAGATAAACCTTGGCTTGTGGGGTAGATAAACCTTGGCTTGTGGGGTAGATAAACCATGGCTTGTGGGGTAGATAAACCTTGGCTTGTGGGGTAGATAAACCAATCGGTTCGCCAAAGACTCGGGTTCGAAATGTATTCAATGTATGGACCTTCTTCTGGTGTCACCTGTGATTATGTTATACTGCCAAAATCGACATAAACCAAACCCATTCATTTTGGAGAGTTAAGGTGGACTTTCAGTATTCACGCGTAAATGTATACCATATGCGGACGTGAATAGCGATCAGTGTATGCAAGATATCGTCACGAGACGTCAGATGTCCACTATAACATGGCGTCAGTTTCCGGCGCTTGTCTGGCTCGTGCTCTACAACCAGGACTATTCATATAACACTGACAATATGGAAGCTCTACCTGAATAACATTACTGAGTCTTGACAAAATAGCCTGAAAACCATCAGCCCAAAGTGTGACACGCTACAAAATGTATACAAGGAACGATTACAGAACATTAAGAATATGGGAACTCTTCTTGAATAGCATGCACTGGGTCTACACAACACTCTCCAACCAAAGTGTGACACAATATATCGACCTGAATGAATAATTGCACAGTGCATGTTTCGTGTTTCCCATCAATAATCTCCACATGGACTACATGAGCAAAGAATGCTGTCCTTAAAGCTCTTGTCCATTAATTATTGAAAGTGTTACCAACGCGAGGGCTCCTTTATCTGTGTGGCAATCTGGGGCAAAAGGAAGAACAGCGTCGTTCACTGCTCCCTAGGGAGACCAGCCTCCACTCTAATATGGCTCCTGGGTTGGGGATTTTTTAGATCGGTATGGTCTTATTCCCAAGTGCCAGTTTTGGTAACGGTCATTGTTATCATTTATCAAGTGAACTTCGATAGCCACCTAGAAATGTCAAACGAGTGGGAGGGAGTGTGTGTTGTATTCTGAATGGCTGAACCGTGATGGTAATATAAACTGACGTACAAAAGAAAGTACACACTCAGTGCTTTTGGATTACTTTCAAAAAAAGCGACGAAAATGTTTTGAAAATAGTTTTACGGTGACATATAAGTCACAGACTTTCCTAATATGTTGCCAAAACACCACAGATATCGTGCCCAATTGCAAAGTTGCCAGTCAAAATCACATCACTTTTCAACTAATCCCAAAACACCAGTTGTTCTTTCTTTTGTACGTCAATTTACATGTCAGAACATCTTTCTTCATTCGAAGACTAATGAAATATATCCACAGAACGACATTCACAACAGTTGCAGGTTGAAAAAGCGACGCTCAGGTATATACTAGACGCCAAAAGAAACGTTACCCTCCTTTCTGAATGACGGAGGTACCTATCTTCAGCTGGCGTTGTGATGCGTGGACGTCCACTTCTTGGCCTGTCTACGGTGACACCACAATCTGTCTTAAGCCCTAAATAAGTCTTATAACCGTGATACCGTGGCATCCGAGGGCCTTGGTAACTGCATTGTATGTCGACCCCATCTGCACCATCCCAATGGTTCTTTCTGTCCCTTCAGCTGTTAATCGTCGCACATTTCTCGTACTTGTGTATCAGATCATGTATTCTAGGCTCTCTTTATACCCTATAGAATCATTCAACATGTGAAATGGATGGAAATACTGCTTGAATATTGCTGCGTTTTGGCGATTGATATTGCTACGTGTAAACAGAAAATGGAAAAGTGTTACTTTGCAAGCAAAAATATTAACAAAGATAATTTTATATGTTCCTAAACATTTTTTTTCAATATCAAAGACACGTTGTACTTGTTTTCACTAATGCAAATCAGCAGAAAATGTTTTAAAAGACTGAAATCATAGGAATGATTATTTTACAATTTTACACACACTACAACAGCTGTTTCTTGTTATAGTAGTTGAAAAATGGTGACTTTAAATGGTTTATCATTGTCCCAAGGCAGAAGATTATTTCAACCTTTCTTTTGGACATCACTATTATTGGTTTATTTCGGCATGGACGAATATAGGACAATTTAACTCTTCTGAAAAAGATGCATTTCACTTAAATATGAATGCATTTGAGAATTTCTTTTCGTGATTTGCATAAAGCTGTGTTGTTAAGCTTTCTTGTAAACTAAACCTTCTGACATATCTTTGATAGTTTTTCAGTAATTCATACAGGTAGGAGGGTAACGTTTCTTTTGGCGTCTAGTGTACATTTTTGAGACAAAATGAACTAAGATGCACGTAATGTAGTAACCATTAACATAGACGTTCATTACCACATACATACAATATATCACAGACATACAATATATCACAGACATACAATGTATCACAGACATACAATGTATCACAGACATACAATGTATCACAGACATACAATATATCACAGACATACAATATATCACAGACATGCAATGTATCACAGACATACAATGTTTCACAGACATACAATGTATCACAGACACATAATATATCACAGACATACAATATATCACAGACATACAATATATCACAGACATACAATATATCACAGACATACAATGTATCACAGACATACAATGTATCACAGACATACAATGTATCACAGACATACAATATATCACAGACATACAATGTATTACAGACATACAATGTATCACAGACATACAATGTTTCACAGACATACAATATATCACAGACATACAATATACCACAGACATACAATATATCACAGACATACAATATATCACAGACATACAATATATCAACCTATGATACTTTTTTTTAGTTTGTTTGTAACTCGCATATAGCAGTACTTTAGTTTCTCGGCAGATCAACGTAATATGGAAGGGAAGACCGAAGAGAGTCAATCCTAACAACATAATCGGCAAAATGGGTTTCGATCCACAGACATAGGTTTCTGTGGACCGCATAGTTTATTGCTACTCCTTACACAATAGGGCATGTTTGTTTAAACATTTTGTTACCTATTGTACTCCTAGAATTATAAACTGCTCACTATATTCTTTATATCCTTGTGAAAAGGATTGGAATTGCATGTATCTGAGCGACATGTTCGAAGTATCCTTTCTCTTAGTGAAAAAAGGCAAATTACCTTGTAGGCGTGGCATCTGTGTGCCTAGAATCACTCACCCTTTAACTGAAATACGATAGTGCCAATGCTAATCTTCATTGTACTGTCAGCCAACTTGATTAGCTTTGCAACTGTGTCACTCCTCGTTAAGTACTATAGTCTGTATTTACTAGAAGACGTCTTGGACCAGAGACAACATATATAGGTATGTTCACCTTCAGGCTAGGTTGTGTTAGACTACGTTGTAAATGCTGCTGCTGCTGATGCTGATGATGAGGCATATCAAAGTAAAGGTCACTCAAACACAAGTAAATCTTACAAACAGGACAAACCTCCTATTGCATATCTTTTACCCCAACGTATACTAAGCTTAAAAGATTAGAATGTATTGAATTTGTGGATATGTTTGGTGATGAAGGCTGAACAGTTAATTTCAAATAACATGATACATTTCCTCGTTTGTTCATCACTGTCAGTCTCATCAAGTTTGAGTGCACATGCACTTGCTGCACGAAATACTCAACACACTTGCAGGCACAGGGCAGCAGAAGCTTAGAGAAAGAAGCGATTCATTTTTGTGTTAGGTCGATACACTAACCATGACATTGTCTTTTAATGGGATATAATGAAAATAGCCACACTAAGCGAATTTTCTAAAATATTCATACTCTCTTATCAGTGAATAGCTTGACGTTAGATTCTTTGATATTTTTTACCCTTTTTAATCGACAGATACAAATCTGTTTTCTGATCGTCAACCATTACAACGGTATTTCATTATTATCAATTATTTACTTATAGATTGATAAAATAAAATAATTAGTGTAAAATAGATGTCATATATCTTTATATTTTTATTTTACATACATGCATCTTTCTTTATGTATTAATTATACACAAAATTATAACCGACCCGTTAAGATCCGGGTTAGAGATCTTCAGTAACCCATGCTTGTCGTAAGAGGTGACTAACGGGATTGGGTGGTCAGGCTCGCTGACATGGTTGACACATGTTATCGTATTCCAATTGCGTAGATCGATGCTCATGCTGTTGATCACTGGATTGTCTGGTCCAGACTCGATTGTTTATAGACCGCCGC